CCTTAGAGAGGGTTCAGAGAAGGGCTACTAAACTGGTTCATGGATTGCGGGATAAAACATACCAGGAAAGGTTAAAGGATCTTAACATTGTGGGGATATTTATGGGATAATAATAGTAACAGTGAGAATTGCCCACTAATTCAATTCTCAGATCCCAAAGAACGTTTATCGTGTTAAGTGAAAAGTATTTCATATAAATAATCACAATGTATAAAAATAGATTTTTATTTATATGACAAATTAATAATAATAATATTATATGTAACATGCATAACAATAATCAATGAATATCCAGTACAAAATTATATGCAATACAAAGAAATGGGTATTACGTTTCAATGGCTAAACTAGCATTTTCTGTCAAGACTTCTACGATTTATGACTAGCTTTCACAGACTGAAAGTGAAACTTTTCACAGCTAAGAACAGAATTCCTCAGAGTGCAGCGTAAGGTCGTAAAGTTTAGCAGACAGTTAGAATAACCCTTTCAATGTTGGCTAGATCTCCTAGGTAGTTAAGATCTATTCTTATGTAATTTTTAAATAAAATAACATTTAAACCAGTTCACTAGTCATTTTCTTAAACCATCCAATAAGAGAGTCTAACATTATATAAGCAGATTTTTAATTTGTCTAAAAGATATCTATCTTAATTTAGAGCAAATCAATACACCTGGATAAAAACAGCGGTATGCTAACACGTGATAATATCACATCAATATATAATTATTCTTAATTCCACCTGCAGAATGGAATGTTTATAACTATATATTCTTAGTTAACTAAGATTTCTTAATATGGAAATCTGACCGTGCTTTATCCAGTCATATATAATGCTATTAATATATTTTAATTAATTTAATTTAATTAAATGAAACCAGTATAATTACCAGTTGAGTAGATATTTCATCCGATTGGTAGTCTCTCTGCATGGAGGTGTTGGTTAGAAAGTCAGTAAATTCTAAGTGTTAGAGTTTTAGGAGTAGAGTGTTAGTCTCAGATGTTGTCCGAGTTGGAGTCCCCAAACTTCCAATTCCTCTCTCCTCTCCTTTGCATATCTTGCATCTGCCTCCTCTCTCGTTTTTTTGTATCTTCCCTTTGTCTTAACTTTTAAAGGGCCAGACTCTCTGTACGTCATCAGTTGATAACCCAATAGAAGCACTAGAGGTGTGGTTATCTTCCAGATCGCAAATTAGGTATTTGGTCTATAGAGGGCAGTCTTGTCCCACTAAACATACCTATCCAGGAAAGAGTTAACTTTTCCTGGTGGCTATTTTGACGTCATTTTGCGTTATCTTTATAGCGCCATAATTTAAAATTTCAAAGGGTTTCTTAAATTTTGTCCAGACTTAGCGTCTGCAATTCCTGCCATAATTTCTGATATGACAGATCATGAACTAAGTTTACCCTTTTCCATACAATGGTACCTTATATATATAGACAGTTAAATTTTAAATTATTTAATCTTCTCTGTCACAATTGTCTGGGTTTAGATTTGATTATATTCTTTTAGCATTAGACAGTCTGTCCAACCCCCTTCCTTATCACTTGGCTTGTATATACTATGCATTCCTCAGCTCTGGGAAAGTGGTTAGCTTACAGATAGAAATACTGTGTCTCTTTGTTAACTTGAAATAACAAAATGGAGTCTGGTCTGTTCAGAGTGACTCAGAATATACACTTTTAGTTTCTATCATAGCACAAAATGTCTGCCGATATAAATACTCTGACAACATGTATAGCTTGGAGGAAAGACGAGACAGGAGGGATATGATAGAAACATTTAAATATATAAAGGGAATCAACACAGTAAAGGAGGAGACTATATTTAAAAGAAGAAAAACTACCACAACAAGAGGACATAGTCTTAAATTAGAGGGACAAAGGTTTAAAATAATATCAGGAAGTATTACTTTACTGAGAGGGTAGTGGATGCATGGAATAGCCTTCCAGCTGAAGTGGTAGAGGTTAACACAGTAAAGGAGTTTAAGCATGCGTGGGATAGGCATAAGGCTATCCTAACTATAAGATAAGACTAGGGAGTAATGAAAGTATTTAGAAAATCCCTGACCCCCTCAAGACATCCACTCATTCACAACACGCTCACAATCTGGAGACGGCACAAAGATAAGTGGGGACTGTCCCCTGGAATCTCTAGATTTTTCCCTACGGCCTATAATCCCGACTTCCAGGGAGGATGGGGAGGGCCCTCACTTGCCCGCCTCACGGGAACGCATTCACCAGTCATTACTGAACTACTGAGGATGACCCACCTCAATTTAAAGACGGACAAGTAACACAGAGACATGCCACTCTCCTGGACATTATGACCAGAGCACAGCTTAAGGGTTTCCTGACGAAACACGTCCTCCCCCTTTGGACCAAGAGAGGAGACACGCACTTTGAACTCCTTTGTGGCCCAACGGGCGACCGTAAACGGCCCCTATCTAAAATATACCGCATCCTTCAGTCGGCAGACAGAGAACCCACGACTCCCACATTCCAACAGAAATGGATGACAGACCTTCACATACATCTCTCGGACAAGGACTGGTCCAGTATTATGGAGACGGGTCTCAAAACCTCGATCAGTGTCATGCGCAAAGAGACCTTCTATAAACGGGTTACTAGATGGTATAGAACACCAGCCGTGTTGCATGCTATAAACCCTTCACTTGACAATATCTGCTGGAGATGCTCAGCCAGCAGAGGGGATATGTTACACATTTGGTGGAGCTGCCGGGACATTCAGCGTTTCTGGCGAACCATAATCTCTGAGATTACAAAGATACTAGCACCAACCATCCGCCTAGAGGCACCCCAAGTACTCCTCGGCTGGCCACGTACATTTAAGGAATCGCACAGGCAACACTTACTGCACATTTTGCTAGGGGAGGCAAACGCCCTGATCCCACTGTACTGGCGTAAACCTAGCATCCCAACCATAGAGCAATGGGTACAAAAGGTAGAGGGAGTGAGGGAGATAGAGGACATCCACTGGTCGTTAATGGGGAAACGAAATAGACACCTTAAGACTTGGGAACCCTGGACAGAGTTTTGGACTAACACCAGGACATAACCGCCCAAGAGGCAGACCCGGGTAAGACAGAACTCTTAGCGGTCAGATAGGAAGAGCGAGCCACGGAATGGCAAATAAGTCTATCACGGAAAGAGCTTAAAAGGAAATACATAACACCTACCTCGACCTAGGCAGGGTCAATAAAACCCCCCCTTCCCCCTCCCCCTCCCCCCCTATTGTTTGTTTGTTGTTTGCTGATTGCAGGGTTACTCACACATACTACCATTCCCGAGACGGTAGGGGGACAACCTCTTACTATCCGACCTTCATTAAAGGGAAATTGTACACCCTGCGGTATGACCTTGATGCAACCCCGGTTAAGTTTAACACCGGGATGCTTATGTTTATGTATGTTTATGTATGTTATGTTTATGTATGTGATGTGACATATACCATAGATGCACAGTTCATGTAACCCTGAAATGTGATCATTGAACATTCCCTTTCTTTTCTGTACCCCATTTCCTTGTACACGAGAAATAAAAACATTTAAATAAAAAAAAATAAAAAAAAGTATTTAGAAAATTGGGCAGACTAGATGGGCCGAATGGTTCTTATCTGCCGTCACATTCTATGTTTCTATGTTTCTATGTTTCAATTACATATATAGACAAACTGCTATGCATATACGCACGCTATTACACGTATACACATATGCACACTCACAGATACACAGAAACATTTACACATGCTTACAGATACTCACAGTTACACATGTATACACTTATACACATATACACACAGAATTTCTGGGGGCTCTAGCACAGTTCAGCACCCCACCTCTTAATTAGCTGATTAATTAGCAGATATTTTATATTTAAATACATGGGAGGACTTTATATCATACAACACAGGACCCAGGGAAGAGGGCAAACCATTGCAAAGCAGTTTGCTCCATTAATAGGGATTAGGGCCAGTGTACTCACGTCTTCATTACCACTACAACAGGCTATCCTGGTTATGAAGATTGAAAAACTTTAAATGTCTCTTTTTTTATCACTTTTTTCTATGCACAAAATAGGAAAATACATCAGACAATATAAATTTTTTTGACAATCAAAATTTTATTGAGGCACAAGATAGTAAGACAACAATATAAATTTAAAATAATTATATAATAACAGACAAACCAGTGTCTACAAACATAATCCAATGCAAGTGCTCTCATAGTAGTTACAGGTATTTTGAGCTACCTGTCATACATAGAGATCTTAGGTGAAATAAACAAAATGGTGCATGAATTTGAGTGAATGTCTCATGATGTAGGGGCAGGTAACACTTGGAGCAGACCTAATCTAGGTAAACTGAGTGGTGCCCATGCCAAGTGTGAGAACTAATATCCTATTTGTATTACTCCCTTCCCATTTCTCCTTTCTCTTCTCTCTCCTCTTACGATCTTTATTTTTATTATGTGTATAACTACATTTTTCCCGTTTTTGTCTTTTGATCCACAACATGTGGCGCGTAAACACCATCAAATAGTCTTCAGTGTTGTATTGTGACATTCTGATCTAGAACTGAAATATATTATACAAAAGCTAATGGTATTATGTTTTAACTTATCCAACAACTTAAGCAGAGTAGTCTTCCTATTCCTCTCCATCACCGCATCAGTTGTAATGATAAGGTACCTGAGTGCAACACCTTGGTTAGTGGAGCTAGAATGGAGATCTAATTTGTCTCCTGTTGTCATATCTTTTCAGTATGTGATACTGTTATTTTGTTAAGTAAAATGGGGACAAGGGTAGATGAGAGGTAAAAATACTAAAAACACCCGCATATCCCTAGTTCCTCCGCTCGGCTTAAACATCTTAAAATAATGTTTATTTCTGATGATAACATCCCTAAACTCTGTTTCATCTGGAAAATTACAGTTTAACCAGACTCTACTTGTTTAACTTGGCTCAATGGCTTTAATTTCCCTCAGCTCAGCTTTTTATAAAATAATATATATACAGTGTCTTCTGGAGACCGCAGGCTGGTATTTAACACATGGCGCTGAGATGTAAAGGTAACCCTCCTGTCATTTAAGAAAAGCCATTGTTTGGGCTTCTGTGAGGACTCACTTCCAGAGGTGGGCATTTCTCCTCCAGCTGCCTGAACTAATGAAACGTTGGAGGAGCTCTTCGCAGGTTTTACAGACCTTAAACTGATGTCCCTTGCATAGCAGTAATAATGGCCGCTTTCAGGAGTTGCTCCCGAATGCACCACGACAGAATTTAAAGCATAAGGCACTCGTCGTTGGGTAGAGCGCCGACCTTTTATGCCAACTGATGCCAGCTCATTAGCTTTATTCTCACCAGCACCAGAAATATCAGTGTCCAGAGAGGTAGATCGTTCCACGGGCAGCCTCAATATTTGTGGAATAGACACTGGATTGAATATCTTCCGCTTCACGTGGTGTTCTGGATCATAAGAAAACCTCAGTAAGTTTAGAATGAGGTATTCTGGCTCCTCTGTAATTTGCACTGTCTTTTTTGCTTTCTGGAGGGAAGCACAGTTTTCACACTGATAGCAGTTGTCTCCATCAAGAATTTCTGGTGCTAGGAAATGGCTGAACATGTCGTTGACTGAAAGCTTTTCCTGGTGTTCTTTTTTGCCAGTATCAATTAATGATGGTGGGAATCCCAGTGAAAGGTCTGTAAAAGCCTCCGTCTTCTGGGAAATGTTTTTGCATGTTTGGCAGCAGATATTAGTTTGCAGCTTTCCCTCAAACATGTGTTGTATCACAGTTTTTTCATCTTTCCCCCAGCTTGTGCTTTGTGAAGACTCTTGAGGAGGAACTTCTGTAGCCAGAGCATTGGCGGCAGCCTCTGAAGACAAAAACTCTATTCTCTCTTCCTCATGCAGGCTAACATAAAAAGTAAAAAAAATACATATATTTAATATGAATCATACCTAGCAATAAGCATAAAGAACACATTTCTTAAAATATTGTATATTTCATTTGGTTGATGCATTTCTAGCCAGAGGGTATTTTATTATATTTAGCGATGGAGAGATGGCAAGTGAAGCAGAGGGCATTGCCCCCACCAGGCCTCTAGTGTAGAGAGGTTTCTGAGCTGCTCCCTCGTAGCACAATACTGTGTAGATTATGTAACTTTGTTCTTTTATTATTATTGTAGTCAGAGACGACTCTAGACTTTCAGTGGCCTTTCACAAAGTTGGAATTAGAGGCCTTACAACATGAGTCAGCAACCTATTTCTGGATGAGGTCTAGATGCCATGTCTATAAATGGATGGGAGGCTGCTTTTATATCTATAGCTAAAATAAATTGAAGATAATAGTAGTAGATAATAGTAGATTGCTCCCTAATTTGGTATGCTTATTTGGAATTGCCCTGTATGGGAAGGGGGTAAATAGTGGCTGTAGTGTGTATGGGGCAAATATAGGATGTACCTAGGGAGACTTTAAACAGTATTTTGGGAGAGAGGGGCTTTAGTGTGTGATATATGGGATCTTAAATAAATCTTTAAAGTTTATTCTTCCCTCCCTCTTGCTTATTTTGGGCCAGGAAGGGGGGAAAGTTGACCTCTGGTGGGCACAATATCAGGTTTGCAACTCAATCTGGCTGTCGCTCTATAATAAATCAGAGCACTGCTGTGGTAACTTACAGAAACTGTCTGAGCCACTAAGCAATGTGTCTGCACCTGCCCGAGGGGCAACTTGCAAGCTTCCTAGAGACCCCCCTCCGACTCACTTTAGGAGGTTACCTACCTCTCCTAATTATAGAGCCATCACTGATTGTAGTTTAATTATTGCAGTGTTAGTATAAATCATTAAATATCAATAAAGGGAGTGGAATGTTGAGAGATAATCTACTGATTTGACCTCAAGTTGGACTTATTGTTTGTAGTTACTTCACAGGCCAAATGTAGCCAACTCTCTGTTCTTCACGTGTAAGTAAAATTTTAATAATATACCCGAGCTAATGGACTGCAATGCAAACTTTTGCCAATCCTGAAATTGAGCCCATGATTAGACGTTTAGGGACTTATTTATCCCTTGCTTTTAATAAACCTCCTCCCTCCATGGTCTGCTTTGAAGAGACAAACAGTTAGACTGCCCTCTTAAGGGCTTTGTGCCTTGTGTAACCTCTTCTCATCCCTGCCCAACTTTATCCTCTATGGTGGGCAGGGAACACTGGCAGGTTTGTTACTCTAGAGACACTGTGCCTTTTATAAAGTAATACCATGTTTAACGTTACAGTATACCTTATACATTTAGTACTAAGTAAATAATCAGGATATAAGAATTGTTTAATTACCTGTTTAAAAGGAATCGAAGATATTCAGAACTGTCTTCCTGGGAGAAAGCACTGAACCACGGTGGACGAGACGCATTGAAAAATTTCAATGGAGAATATGCTTCTCGCTGGTTAGAAATAAGGGAAGATCCAAATGTTACTTTAGCAGGGGGAATTGATGGAGATATTCACATGTAAAGAAGAAACTAGATTTTGTCCCATTTGTTTGGTTTTCAACTCTATAGACTCAGTGGAGGAGATTTATCCCAATGCTGTAATGTGAAATGTGCAAAACGGTAAAAGTTAATCAATCACCAGTGGGATGTGCCTACTGATTCCACTAGTGACCATGGTGACTGCTTCTTTTTTTAGAACGTTCCAGAACATGGCATCTTGATAAATCTCAGCTTTTGTAATAGTAATATGTATTTCGTAATGTTTGCTATATAACACGGATTGTGCATATTAATTACTGTATTCTATATTATTTTGTGGAACGTTTCATGTTGTGTGTTCTGCTGTTTTTCTCTGTTACATGGACAGATAGTTATTTTATGTGCCATATGCCCCCATTGTTTTTCAATTAACAAAAGCATACCTTAGAATAAGCCAAGATGTTGAAAAGTTGTTGCAATTTCTTCATCAGTGAATCATTGCCTTTCAAATTGAGGGATAACACGCGGCTCCTAAAGCTGAAAATCAGATCACGCATTATAGACGTTGCACTAAATCAGGGCTGCCCAACAGGTAGATCCCCAGATGTTGTGGAACTACAACTCCCATGATGCTTAGCATGCCTTTAGAATGCATTTTAGAATGACAAAGCATCGTGGGAGTTGTAGTCCTACAACATCTGGGGATCTACCTGTTGGGCAGCCCTGCACTAAATGGTAACCGATTAAAGAAAGGACTTACATTAAAATGTTTTACTAGAAGAAGACAGAAACAGTTTGAGTGTTATATTAACCCCCACACAAATGCCAGTGTGCTCCTGTTGGATAGACTCCTTTAATTAGTAAAATAAAAAGCCTGTAGGTTTTCATACCCAGCTGACCACAGGAAACACGATATGCCATATGTACAAAATGTCCCTCAGTGTCATAGTGCTGCATACATTGCATCTAATGAGACATCATACTGCTCGGTGTGTGTAAAATATTATAGCAGTCTAAGTGAAGTTCTGTCAGTAACTGCTCACTGAGTGCAGCCTGCAGCCATTTTATCGATGGATTGAAGTATGGTGAGATATAATGCAATGTATGGCCAATGTTCAGCCACGTATTTATTTTTCACAGATTAGTCGGATTCTCACACAAACATATAAACTCGAAAGGAGAACTTACTCTGTCGCCATGAACAACGATTGTAAAACGCTGTTCATATAACACGTGTTTCCCAGGTTTTTTAGGCCAGTTCTTGTTATTGATTTCCCTGACCGTACGGGGACGTGAGAAACCAAAGCACTGGATGAAGCTGTCTGGGAACTTTGGATATTTTCACGTTTTATCTCCTCAACAGACTGCTTTGGTAACTCCTAAAGAAGAAGACATTTTTTAAAATACATATTCATATATAAATGTCTGTATTTTCCTTACATTTCAATTCCGTCTTTGTGTTGTGATTTGTAAGATTGAAATGTTTTGGTCCTCAAAATGCCCCCGTATCACTCTCCCCCCCAGATGATAATCGCTATTGTGTCGGAAATCTGCTATATGGTGAAATATTCAGGGAAATTATATGAATTCTTTATTACCTCGTTTATGTCTCCCTTCTGGTTTTGTTCCAACTGTTCAGCGCTGGAGTCTATGGTAGCATTCTGAAAATATTCATAATAGTAATGTTTAGTTAACTTTCTATAAATTTTTCAGCAATAACAACAGTTTATAGTCATTATTTTTGCATGAAATATTTGGCTTCATATACACTGCTCAATGCAAACTGTGTCAAAGATCCTAATATGTAAATACATGCATAATCTGCATTGTTAAATGAATTATTCTACTGAAAATAATTTAGATTACTGTTCACTATTACACTCACTTTATATGAATTCTTTATTACCTCGTTTATGTCTCCCTTCTCGTTTTGTTCCAACTGTTCAGCACTGGAGTCTATGGTAGCATTCTGAAAATATTCATAATAATAATGTTTAGTTAACTTTCTATATATTTTTGAGCAATAACAACAGTTCATAGTCATTATTTTTGCATGAAATATTTGGCTACATATTCACTGCTCAATGCAAACCGTGTCAAAGATCCCAATATATAAATACATGCATAATCTGCATTGTGAAATGAATTATTCTATTGAAAAAAAATTTAGATTACTTTTCACTATTACACTCACTTTATATTAAATATTTATTACCTCGTTTAAGTTTCCCTTCTCATTTTGATCCAACTGTTCAACGCTGGAGTCTATTGTAGCATTCTGAAAATATTCATAATAATAATGGTCAGTTACTTTTGTATGTTTTTTTAGGCAATAAGACCGTTTATAGTCATTATTTTTGCATTATTACTGCTCTCCCATGTTTTGCATTGAAATTGCTATTACGCTCACATTTATTAGAGCACAGGAGGAGTCTCCAAGTTGCTGCTTTGATCTGTCTCCTGTGACGTCTTTACTGACGACTTGTATTCAATCGGTAACTTCTCATTGAGAAACACAGAAACACACAGCACATTTGTGGCAATCCGTGCAATCTGGCATTAATGCTCCTATCTGTCTACTTGACAGTTGGGATTTGTTACTAAGGGGTTTTTAGAAACTTACTGATTCCACTTGAAATATTTGTGAAATGCTGCTTTTATCAAAATCAGTAGAAAGAAGATGCAGTTAATCCCTAAAGCATTTAAAGGAACACTGTAGGCTCTGAAACTGCTTCATCTCAGTGAAGTGATTATCATGTCTGGAGTCTCCTATCACCATCGCTCCATTTAGTGTTAAACGTTTTTTAAAGTTTTAATGCTAAACAAGAGCCCCCAGCAGCCCATCGCATCTGTGCTGCTCAAACTAATGAGGAAACATTAGCCTGAGCATCATTGTGTGACTGTGATTGGCTGAGTGTCAGCTGACTGCTTTTAGCCTATCATAGTGTCCATTCAGGTGTCCCTACAGTGTCCCTTTAAGCAAGTTAAAGTGCTTTAGGGGACTGGACTGTAACTTTTAGTACAATTAATGCAGAAGGGCTACTAGACTCATTTATTAACTGTACTGAAAGGGACACTCCAATCACTTGGTATTAATTTAGTGCAAATTAATGTTTGAATACTTAATGTAGGCATCTACCTTTCAAGAATGCTAAATATACTGATTAAAACATTTTTACCTCTATATGTTTATCCTGCTGTAATTTCTTTTTTAAAAGTAAAAGCAATGATAACTCTAATTTAAACAGTTTCATTCTTGATTTCAATTTCACTGTTTCATATCTTTATATTGATTTGAGTTTTCCTATTTTTTTAAAGTTTGAAAAATACAATTAAAGTTTAAATGTATAAAACCATTAGACTGTAGCCATTTAATGATACATATGTTTCAGTTGAGTATCTACTTGAGATTGATGTGGAAACCCTCTTGCCTCGTTGACAGTTTCCTTGCATGCGCTTTCTGCAGTCTCTTTGCCGCTGTTTTTTTTTAAATTATGTTTATTTGATTTATAAAAGGCTTAACATACATAAAAGGGAGTATGCCAATCCTCCCAAAAACATACCATTACTAAACAGAAGTATATATTTTACTTTTGTAGAAAAATCTGCATAAACCTTCCAAATACTTTTTAAAGCACAGATAAGAAATACGCAGACAAGACAAACAGTATTGGTCATTCTCCATCACAGCATAATACTAGGTCAGAGAGCTCGTCACTTACTACCAAAAACTCCCCAAAGAAACAAAAAACGTGTAAACTCAGAGCCAAAAATACATCCAAGTAATTAAACAGTAATAAAGAGACCTAAAACCCTAGCCAATCAAAGTATCCGTATCAAGGGTCATCTATGCATGTTAGAATATTTAGAACTTGTTAGTCCTTTCTAAAAGGGTGATACATAGTTCCAATATTCTATGATTTGAGATTAAATTCGTAGAGTATACACCTTTTTCCATCTCTAACTGGTATTACACCTGGGATTTAAATTGGTCCTTAGTGGGAACCTCTAAACATCTCCAATGTCTAACAATTAGGATCTTAGTTGCCAATAAACAATGAATTAGAGCCATCTCAGTTTCTTGGTTCGTATCTGGACCTAATATGTAATAGAGCTAACTCTGCCTTTGTTCAAAGGATTTGTCCACTAACAAATAGACAAGATTAAAGGTCAGATTCCACAAGGATCTAATTCTGGGGCAGGACCACCAAATATGTAGCAATGATCCATCTGGATGAAAACAGCTCCAACAATTAGGCGGGTTAGTCTGTGAGATTTTTGCTAATCGTAAAGGGACTATATACCATTTGTATGCAATTTTAAGAAAACCTTCCAAAATATTCAAACGGATATATTTTTTTTGTCATCAAAAAAGACTTACACCACAAATCCAGTGGTATATTTATCGCTAATTCAGTTTCCCATTTTATTAGTGCCTTGGGAATATCCTGACCCCCCTTCAATCTTATCAATTCTATAGCAATCGATGTCACATTTTTAACTTCATATCCTGTAAATATATTTGTAAATAGACCTCCATCTCTACTATCCAGGGATATCAACTTATCTTTAAGGAAACTTTTCATACGGAGATAGTTAAACACTTCTCTAGGAGGTAGATCTAGTAAAATGTTTAACTCTTCAAAACTTTTCAGTTGTCTATTATAAAGATCTGATGTTATATAAGGAGAATTCCTATACCAATTTTTTAAATTTATGTCTGACAAGATTTGTTCTAAAGATTCAATATGTATTTTTTCTAGGATTTTATTATTAATATTCAGTTTTTTCTTGATAATTTTCCATTCTTTTAAGATTTGAAGAAGAATCAGGGAGGATTTTGTCAATAAGTTGCAAAGTGAATAATTATTACTTTCGTCGCCCCATAAAAGAGGTTCTAAGTTTTTTACTCCGCCTCTATAGGATTCAATTTTGTACCATACTTTGGGTTGTGCCTCCTTTATTTGTAATTTACTAGCATTAACCAGCATATTCGCTTGACATATCTGACTAATTAAGGGATACCCCATAAGTAAAAGCAATGAAAACTCTAAATTAAACAGTTTAATTATTGATTTCAATTTCAGTGTTTCATATCTTTATATTGATTTGAGTTTTCCTATTTTTTAAAGTTTGAAAAATACAATTAAAGTTTAAATGTATAAGACCATTAGACTGTAGCCATTTAATGATACATATGTTTCAGTTGAGTATCTACTTGAGATTGATGCTGAAACCCTCTTACCTTGCTGACAGTTTCCTTGCATGCGCTTTCTTCAGTCTCTTTGCCGCTGTTTTCATTAAAGACGGCAGTGATCTCTTGGTTGGAGCTGCTGTTGTGATTTTTTTTGCGTCTGAAAATCTTTTTCACGCTAAGTTTCTTGAAACAGCGAAGGAAACAGAAACAGCAGGAGCCGTCTTGTTGTACTGGGCTCTCTTCCCTTTCTGAACGCTTTCCAAGTTTACCTAATTTTTGCTTAATTTTACATAGCCATGATTTGATCCGGTTTTTAGACCTTTTGGCTTCTGTTTGCGTCCATGAGTCTTTGGTCTCAATTTTTGGTTCCTTGATATCATATTCCGTTGCCTGGTCCATCATTATTGTTTTTGTTTGGACACATTTATGGCACATTTCTAATTGTATATTGCTCATTAAAAAAATTTCCCGCAATCTATGGGTGTAGGGAACCCCATCATCCTCACAGCATAGCAGTGAGTACAGATGTTTTAAATCCATCGTAATTTTCAATAAAATGAATTATATAGCAATAAGAACAATTGGAGCGCTGTGTACTGAAACTCAACCAGTTCACTAGTAAAGGAGACCACACTGAACCATTAGTTATGAGTTGTTTGTGACATTGTGACATCATTAGAAAATTACAATGTCACCAGTTGGTCATGACATCACAGTAGCTGAGCAGCCTTGTAATAGTTTTTTTTTTTTGTAATGTTTACAATTATTAGATGATTTAGAAAAATAAAAAAGTGCCCAATAAATATTTTGTTTAAAAAAGGCAAACTGGAAACATAGCTGACATTTTTCCAATTCAGCTATTTTGGCTTAAAAAATATTTTCAACTAGAATTCATATTGTATTTTTTTTTTAAAATGCTTTATTTTAGCAGTGCTTCGCAACAAACATGTTATCAGGCACACCATAATATGTCAGTGGCATTTATAGAGTTAGCATTCAGGTGGTGAGAACAAAACACATTTTTTTTTGTTTTTTTACATGTAAACACAAAGTGGGGTCACCTGAGGAGTCAATGGCAGTTGGGGTCCATGGGGTCGGTTCTCAGGTTCCCTAGTTTCTAAATTTGGGATATGCTGGATACTTTCCATGTGGGGCTAAGCGGGTGCTGCATATCTATGATGTCAACGCCAGACTGATTGCCCCGGTATTTGAGGGTCAGTTTGGTGAGGTGATGGGCATATATGAGGTATCTGTTGAGTCAAGATAGGAGTGTGGGTGGATTAGAGAGTAACGGGGGAGAGTGATGGGGGTTAGCGGGGAGGGGGGAGAGAGGGGAGGTCAGTCAGCTGCTGTGTGGATACCGCCTGGGCCCCTCTCTAAGATTCAACATAGTGCGTAAATCAGTCGCGAGTGAGGTCTGTGGTCGTAAGCCAACTTATATACATAGCAAAGGAGAAAAGAAAGAAACTTTGACTAAACACATTTTAACAGATCAGAGCAAGTGTCCGTCCGCAATGGGCCATACGCGTGACAGTTCATGGTGTGTGCCCGCTCCTAGTGGAGTCAGGTAGTTGTGTCACGTATCTCTCCAGCTCTCTGTATGAATGGGATTGCTGAGTTGGGATTTGAGGTGTCCGTGGGAGCTGCCACAGTTGGGCTCGCGGTTTGATCTGTCAGTTCATATTGTATTTTTAACTGTTTAAACTTTTGTAAATATCCCTCTGGGTGCCTTGGTCACCATACGAATACTATTGCATTTACTGTATCGGCTCTTCACCTTTTCAATCCATCACTCGAGCATCCGCTTTGTGAGACAACTATAATTAATGGGACACAGAGACCATAATACACTATCTAACATTATTAGATTTCAAACTGGATTAGCATTTGGCCTATTGGGCTGAAAGTAAAGGGCTCCCACATATTGTGTTGGGTTGAACACAGGGTTTTTAGGAAAATGCTGCAAATATGTAGGTCTGGGTATGGGTATAGTACTCTATAGTGGTTATGGTGCTTTTGACTTTCCCTAAAATGTAAACTGAAGCCTAAATGCTGAGATATGTTTTTCTAATTACACAGTTTATGTGAACAATATTCGCTGAGATATTGAGAACTGTAAAATATTATTTGCCATTTTAGATTTTTTTTCTAAATATTCTCTAACTACCATTTCGGTTGTATGGGTTAAAGTATGTAACACAAGGCCTATGTAATTAAGTAAAGGCTGTGATATTATATTTGATCTAATTTAAAACTTTGCAATTGCTTATTATCATGTTTTTTTTTCCTGTGGAGCTCTCTGATACACTATTTTCATTCCACGTGTTCGTACTAACTTTCATGCTACAACATACATTTTGCCATGCTCTTAGATCACCCATTTGCAGTATCCTAGTCACCTCGTAGTCGCTACATTAGGTCACATTGAAAACTAGAAAAACCCTGCAAGGAATAAACGATCTTAAGGGTAGGAAAGAGCACTGGTCCTAAGAAGACAGCACACGGGCAGCGTGCAACAGCCCATAGCTCTGTGGACCGCATACTACAGCGGCTGAACGAGCACTTCCAACGGCTCTGAGAAGCTCTGGAGGACTGCCAATCATTACTACCGCTCAAACCCCGAGTGGAAAAACAGAGTGGCGAGAGACTGAGAGAGCAGAGGACGCCCTTGGGCCTAGCACAACCAGAAAAGCCTGCAGATCATATTACTGGCCCACATGGGCCAAGCGCCACCAGGGGCTTGACCCAGAGACATCACCCACGCGGACGGAGAGACGGCCGCCACAGACGGAGGCAGACCATCATGTCCCCCCGTCACTCCCGCCCTGGGAGGGACTCGGTCCATAGAGGAGACCGGGTCCATGGTCTAAGGATGTCGGCCTTCATACCGGCCTGTGGCTGGAGGGCGGACACACCTCGCCCCCGACGTGTCGCCACCTCTGTATCCTGCTCTGCACTTAGCGCAGCAGGCCACACACAGGGCCCAGAATGAAGACGCACCTCACATGAGGGCCGCTGCTGGGCCACCTTTGATGGACTCAGTTACACCCTACAGGCAATGCCCAGCCAAGGAATAGGGTGACAACCTTGCCAAGGAGACAGATTGCTCACCAGAAGTCGAGCACATGACCCTCCAGTGGCTGGCCTGGATGGCAATTTCCACACACCACCCGATATGCCACCTGTTAAGTTTTATTTTAGGCCTGTTGCCCACTTACTTTGTTTTAAATGCCTCCTATTTGAATTAGCTATGTATCCTCAAAGCAGTTGGCTCGACCCCAGTGGTTTATACAATAATCTGGTTAACATAGGCGTGCGCACGGGGTGTGCCTGGGCACACCCTAATCCCCGCGGCACGCCTATGGAGTGAGACTGGCAGGGGAGATCCCTGTCGCTACTCGCCTCCCTCCCCACTGCAGCATGGAGGGAGGCAGGAGAGGACCCGGGGAGCTCAACCAGCAGCTCCGCGGGTTTCCTCTCGCGAGATCTGAGCGTTGCCGCGGCAACGCTCAGATCTCGCGAGAGTGAACTCTAGCCCCACGGGGGCTAGAGTTCACTGTCCACTGGACCACCAGGGAAAGCAGCAGCAACAAGAATCCCCCCTCCCTACATAAGGTAAGAAGGGAGGGGGGATATTAAGTAATGTACCCCCACCTCCACCCCCACAATCACCCACACACATACAACACATACAGCACCCTCAAACACACAGCACAGAAACAGCACCCTCACAAACACACACACAGCACACTAACAGGACCCTAACAAACAAAGACCCTCACACACACAGCACACAAAGAGCACACAAACAGCACCCTCACACACAAACAGCACCCTCACACACACACACAACATACTAACAGCACCCTCACACACACATGACACTAACAGCACCCTCACACACATCACCCTTACACACAACACCCTCAAACCACCCTCATGCGGTGCACACACACACACACAGCAGTGTGTGTAGGTATGTGTGTGTGTGTGTATATACATATATATACACACACATACATATACACGCGGCGTGTGTTTGTGCTTTAGGGTGCACACCCTAATGCAATAGGCTGCGCACGCCTATGCTGGTTAGTCTAGCACGTAACCACACAACTAATAATTAACCTATGCCAATTGTGTTATACTTAACATGTAACCGAACAGTAACCACATAAGAAATTACAGTCGTGTCTTATCTAGCATGTAACTCAATATTAAATTCATACTTAGGCAGTCCCATCCATGACCTACATATGTTATGTTTCATACAATATACAACTTTAAGCATGTTTCTTATACTATAAAATAGTGCATGTTAACTCCAATACCCTGATTGTTAAGCGAGCAAAGAAGCCAGAGGACTGCCGTTGGGGTACCTCAGGCCTGTATGTACTCACCTTATGCACTGCAAAAATATTAAATATAAAAAAAAAAAATTAATCATGTATAAGTGAAATGAATCTGTTTAACATTATTTTATTTATAATATCCTAACTTGTTTTAACTAGTATCCGTATGTCTTTTTAAGATTTTATGATTTCGGTATAGAATATATTACAACAATGCATATTCAATATAAAATATATAACTGATATAATTAATGGATTAGGTATTAATAAGTACTAAAATGTAATAGAGAAATCATAATACCGTGGTCCAAAGAATAACTATAAAAGGACATTGAGTTAAAACTTCACAAAAACTTACAAAATAACCACAGAAAACATCAAATGTGCAATATTGGAGTTAAGCACAGGAAAAGTTCTGCCCCAGCAGAAAACAGACTACACCTTTAAGAAACTGACTATTTTCAAACATAAGGGATATGAAAGACTGTGATGTGCTGTTATCTCCTTATCTTGAAAACACCTGCAGAGATAGAAGTGGAGATAAGGTTAATTGCAACATTGTTTCAGAGATTTATTTACAGTGTTTTTATCTACAGTGCTTACTAAAGCCATCTGCTTGCTCTAAGAAACTTTCACTGGGCCTGGGATTCTGGCATTTAAAGGACCACTATAGGCACCCAGACCACTTCAGCTTAATGAAGTGGTCTGGGTGCCAGGTCCAGCTAGGATTAACCCTTTCTGCTGTAAACATAGCAGTTTCAGAGAAACTGCTATGTTTACATTAGGGTCAATCCAGCCTCTAGTGGCTGTCTCATTGACAAGACGCTGCCGTCCATAGGAAAGCATTGAGAATGCTTTCCTATGAGACTGGCTGAATACGCGCTCGGCTCTTGCCTGCGCATTCAGCCGATGACGGCAGAAGAAAGAGAAGATTCCCCAGCGTTGGAAAAAGGTAAGTGTTTAATCCCTTCCTCACCCTAGAGCCCTGCGGGAGGGGGGCCCTCAGGGTGGGGGCACCCTCAGGGCACTATAGTGCCAGGAAAATGA